CTTTGGCTCCTTCCTCCTTTCCTCTCCCATCCTTTCTCTGTGCTGCTGTGCCCCCTCCCCAAACCCACCCGCGTCCCTCCCCAGGACTCTGTTCTGGATCGCTGCTGCCTCCTGGTGGCAGCCTTGGGAACGGCAGGAGGTCTCCTGGTGGGCACCGTGAAGTGAAGACCATTCCTTCTAAGGAAGCCGGTGGGAGGTCAGGTCTTTCACACCTGGGCCATCTCTGGCTCAGGCTGGTGGTGGCCCGCAATCCTAGCCTCCAGGACACACCGGGGGTGGGGGGCGTTCTCAGCCCTCTGCTGTCATTGGTTGGCTCAGGATGGCCCCCGAGGTGGTGCTGTGTGAGACCATGAAGGATACGCCCTATGACTACAAGGCAGACATCTGGTCCCTTGGCATCACGCTGATTGAGATGGCAGAGATCGAGCCCCCACATCACGAGCTGAATCCCATGCGTGTCCTGCTTAAGATCGCCAAGTCGGACCCCCCCACGCTGCTGGCACCCTCCAAGTGGTGAGGGGCAAGGGGACCCTGGGAAGGCACAATGTCTCCTAAAGTCGGGGGGGCCTGGGGATCTGCAGGGCTTTCAGAGCCGGCCTTTCCCTCTGTGCTCTGGACACAAGAACAAATCCTATAAGCCAAGTACATGGGTCCTGTCATCCCACAAGCACCAAGAGCCCAAGCCAAGCCCCAGCAGGCATGGCGCACAGCCCTGGGCTGGGACTGGGGGCTTGGGTTCAAATCCCAGCAATGCCATATTCCAGCAAGTCCCTCTCCTCTCCGACTTCCATGTCCCCATCTGAACAGTGTTGTCCATCATGAGAAGGGCCTCGTGTGGGCCCTGTCACCTGCACTGTTTCAGCCCACAAACGGGCCCTTTGTCCTTGGGCATTGTCTTTGGGAAGCATCGGCTCTCTGGGAGGCTGTGATAGCTGTGACAAGGGGGACTCTCAACTTGGGGCCCTCCCTGAGCTCATCATGGACCCTGTCCTTGCAGGTCTGTGGAGTTCCGGGACTTCCTAAAGACAGCATTGGATAAGAACCCAGAGACCCGGCCCAGCGCAGCACAGCTGCTGGAGGTGAGCACCTGACCCTACCCAGTCGGCATGTCAGTGACCTGACACTGACTTGTCCCCCCCACTGCAGCTGCCCAGCAGGCCACTGGATGGAGACTTAGCAGTCAGGCCAAGTGAGAGGTGCTGGGCCTTGCAGGCCCTAACCCAGGCCCTGGTCTTTACCTGGATGCAAAGTTGAGCAGCACACTCAGCAGGGCTCTGGAGAGGCAGCTATGGGGAGGCCAAGGCCTGCCTTCCCAGAATGGTGGAAATGTCGAGTATGTCTCCCTGGGTGGTGGTCACACTGTGCATGGGTGTGAAGTCATCGCACTAGCAGTTTGCAAGCTATTCTATATGTCAGATATAACTCCGTCAAAAATATATATTAAAACCACGTATTAAGACCTTTCAGGCCAGGCACTAGTGGCTCACACCTGTAATCCTAGCTACTTAGGAGGCAGAGATCAGGAGGATCATGGTTTGAAGTCAGCCAGGGCAGATAGTTCGTGAGACCCCCAAACTCAAAAAAACCCATCAAAAACAAAAAGGGGACTGGTGGAGTGGCTCAAGTGTAGGCCCTGAGTCTAGCCCCAGTACAAAAAAAAAAAAAAAACCTCCCCCTGGCTCCAACACTGTCCTCTATCAGCACTATTGTCACCAAGTTCAAAGATGAATAGCCTGTGCTGAGAGGTCCAGTGACCTGCTCCAGGGCCCACAGCCAGGGAGTGCCGGGCCTGGGAGCTGCCTGTCTCTGATACAGGCAGGACTTTGTGAGCTGCCGTGGGTCCCCTCTCCAAATTGGGGATGCAGCTGGGGGTGCAGCTGGCCTTTGCCCTCCACCCTGTCCCGGCCTCAGTGGTTCTGACCCAGGTGCTTTGCCCCTCAGCATCCGTTCGTCAGTGGTGTCACCAGTAACAAGGCTCTGCGGGAACTGGTGGCTGAGGCCAAGGCTGAGGTGATGGAGGAGATTGAGGATGGCAGGGATGAGGGCGAAGAGGAAGATGCCACAGACGCCACCTCTGTGAGTTCCAGGGAGGTGAGGGGGAGAGGGTATCATGCCAGAGGGATGCCGGGAGGCTCCTTTCTTCTCTCCAGATGCCGCATTGGGTTGGGTAGGACGCACATGGCCAGGTGTCAGCCGGCCCTGACTCCATACATTCAGGAGAGAGCAGAGTCTAGACCTTCACACGAAATCCCCAGCCTTCTGGGTGGGGCTCTGGAGTGTTTGCAGCACCCTTTGGGACAGACAGGTGGGGCTACATATGGCCAGGGGCTATGGCCACCTGGCCAGTCCACTGCCCTAGCATGGCAGGGACTGTGTCTGCACACTTGTGACTCATCTGCAGCCTTACCACTTGCTGGAGTTAAATAGAAATGGAAGCGATTCTAAGTTGATAGAAACCACTGAGCAGATCACCACAGCCCAGCTGGCTGGCCGAGCTGTGTACGGAGCCCTTTCCAGGGAGTTGGCTGTTGTGATGGCCCCCCGTGTGAGGGCAGCGAGGCTGGAGAGGAAGGCAGGTGGCAGTTACACACAGCCTTATTACCCCAGTGGGAGCCATAGAAGGCGTGGGTGTTCAGAACTCAGTTCTGCCACTGAGTCACCTTCAACTAGACCCATGGCTCTGGGTATTGAATAGAAAGTGGGTAGAGTTGGTTTTGCCAAGGTCAAAAGCCAGAATCTGTGGGACCAAAAGATGCTCATGGTGTGAGCATCTTGAACAGAATTCACCTGTAACACTCAGAGGTCATAGTCAAGCCGGGCGTGGTGGTACACACCTGTAATTCCAGCTATGTAGGAAGTATAGATAAGAGGATTTGTCATCCAAGTCTGGCCCCTACCTGAAAAATAGCTAAAGCAAAATAGGGCTATGGGTGTGACTCAAGGGATAGAGCGCCTATGTAGGCAGCACAAGGCCCTGAGTTCAAACCCCTAGTACGTCCCCCCAAAAAAGTGAGTACTTGCCATTTAGTGACCAAGAGATGCCACTTCAAAGTCCAGATGTCCAGTGTGCCTTGAGTTTTTGCAGTGTCTGGTCTCAAGGGCCGGAGGAGTTATCTCCCACATTGCCACCACTGGCTGGAGCTGGGTGACCTCTGGGCCCTCTGTCCAGTTGACCACAATGATCTCTGTTGGGGGGTAGGTGGTGTTTAGTCATTGTTAAATGAAGCCATGATGAGAGAGTCGGGGGATCCCTGTCCCTCCCACTGGGGGTCTCTCTGTCATGGGTGTGGCTGTGGGAATGGTGAGCACCTTGGTTTAGGGAGGCTCTGCTCCTGGCACCGTCACCTCCTCTGTGGGTGCCTGGCTTCCCAGCCCTGCTGTGTCTCTGACCCTGGGCTTGGACCAAGAAACATGGCCCTGACTCTCTTCCAGCCCCTGGAGACCCATACTCAGGACCCTTCTGAGGAGCCACCCGCCCTGCAGCCACCCAGCCAGCCTCAGGACAGCGCAAACGGTCCCTGCAGCCAGCCCTCCAGGGACAGGTCCCTCCATGCCACCAGCCCCCCAGACACCGTCTCGTCAAGCGACAATGACCTAGCAGTGCCTGTTACCCTCCGGAAGCCCCGGCCAGTGTCCATGGAGGCCAGAATTCAGGCGGCCGAAGAGAAGCAAGGTGCTGGCCAGGCCCGGGATCTCAGTCCTGCAGCCGCCAGGTCCCAGAAGGCTGGCCAGAGCCGGCCCAACAGCAGCGCCCTGGAGACCCTGGGTGGCGAGAAGATGGCCAATGGTGGCCTGGAGCTCCTGGTCCCCGCAGCATCAGACCCTTCCAAGAGGGCCTCAGATTGTGGCAGCATGGACTACAGCCCTTCCCTGTCAGCCGACCTGTCCCTGAACAGAGAAACAGGCTCCCTGTCCCTGAAGGTAATGTCACCTGTCACCCCGCAGGTTCAGGAGCCCTGTGTGCTGGCGCTCAGGGTCAGTTCTCTTCCAAAGCAATTAGTAGCTTTCCTCTACTGTATTTTATTCACTTCCTTATTTTGGGGTTTTGGGGATGAACCCAGAGCCTGGTGCCTCCCCATGGCTTCATGGGCTTCACCCCCAGCCCCCTGCCTTCCATTTAAATGATTCATAAGGCTCACCCTGTGAGATTGCAGCTTGGCTCGTCGTTTAATCTCCTGAATGTCTGGGTCAGTATGGGACTTAGTAATAGTAAGCAGTCGGCTTGGATTTAAATTGTGAAGTGTGGGTAAAAGGGCCAGTAAACCTTGAGAAAGCATTCTGGAAGACACTTGTGGGTCAGCCATATGGTTCCAGATGGACTCAATGACAGGAAGTGGGCTCAGCTTCCTTCCCTGGCTCGGCCCGTCAAGGGGGGAGACCTATAAATAACCACGACCCCAGCACAAAGTACTTCAGGAAAAACAAAGGGCTGCTTCATCTGCCTGGTGACAGGAGCAGAGGCCGAGTGACGTCAGGAGCTGGCCTAGGCCAGAAGCACAAGGTGGTCAGACTTGGGACGCCAGCTCCGACCCCACTTGGTGTTCTCTTCGTTCCTTCCACTTAAACTGTGAACTGAGCTGAAATCTTACAGGATGATCCTTAGGAACCATTTAGATGGAAGAGACTTAAACTGCTCGTCACCTGATCCCAACCAAGGCTGTGACAGTGCCATGTCTGTTTTTCCTCCTGAGAAATGTGGAAATGTGAGGATCCCGGTTTTGGGGGAGTGAGGACTGAAGGGAGGGTCTCCACCTTGGCCACTCTGGTTCATTCACTGCTCTCCCTGGGGCCTTGTTGTGAAGGCAGAGCTGGGCTCTAGAAGGAAGGGCCTCGGAAGCCAGGGAGAGGTCAGCAGAAACCCAGTGCTGGCCGCCAAGCCCTCAGCAATCAGAGCTGAGCACTCCACACTTCGACCACTGTGACACCTCCCAGTGCTGGGGACATGCTAAGCAGCCACGTGCAAACTGTGCAGTTATTCACAGTGAAAGACGTGATGAGGAATCTTCCACCTCACGGCAGCCCCTGGCAGGTGCAGCTGCCGCTGGGGTTCGGGCCAGTCAGGTGTGACTCCCAAATCTGTTATTCCTGAGAGGGGCCCCATTACAGTTTCCCTGTGGAGGACAACTGTGGTCTGTGATCTTAACTCTCAGAAATAAATACCGAGTGCTGGGTACCACTCTGTGTGCCCCATAGCCCCACCTCACATCTTTGTCCTCCAACAGTGGAGGAGGCTGAGGCTCAGACAGGACAGGGACTTGTCCAGGGTCACAGGGCCAGCGAATGTCCAGTGAGTAGGACTCGGCTTTTTCTGAAGTGTCCTGGTTTCACAAGAGTGTTGGAGGCGAAGTGAAGGGGACGTGTCTGAACTCCTGGACCAGGGGAGGGAGAGGGTGATGCCCGATGCTCCAGCCCTCAGGTTGAGAAGTTGGAGGTGAGAGAGACAGCGCATAGCCATGTCCGCCCTGGGCCCAAGCCGTGGGGCCGGGAGTGCTGTGGCCTCATCTTGAGTCAGCCATGGACTCCTAAATGCTGAGTTTTGGCACATGTTTTCCCTGGCCAGGACTCAAGGCTGCACAACAAAACCCTGAAGCGGACACGCAAATTTGTAGTGGACGGCGTAGAGGTGAGCATCACCACCTCCAAGATAATCAGCGAAGATGAGAAGAAGGACGAGGAGATGAGGTTTCTCAGGTAAGTAGGAGCCATCGATGGTGGCAGTGGGGGCGGGGAGAGGCCCTTGATCTTCTAGGTGAGAAGAAGAGCTGTCAGTCCATAGTGTGAAATGGGGGAGTTCAGGAGACAAAAGGAAACTGGTTTTTCCTGAGCTTTTATGCCCAGCCATCCATTCTACCCATTTACACACCCAGTAACCCATCTGCCCGACCATCTGTCCATCTACCCTTCCATCCATTTATCAGCCATGTACCCATGGCTACCTATCCATCTATCCACCCATCTGCCCACCTACCCAGTTAGCCATCATCTGTCCATCCATACATCTGTCTGTCCATCTACCCAGTCATCCATTTATCCACATATCCAATAATCCATCCACTGAACCCTTCACTTACCCTTTCATCTACCCATCCATGCATCATCTATCTACCCATCTGCCCACTCACGCATCATCCATCTTTCCAGCTGTCCATCACCTATCCATCTGCTCATTCATCCACCAACCATTCATCTATCCTTGTAGCCATTTATCCACTTATCATCCATCCATCTATCCATCCATTCATGTATCTACCTGTCCAGTTATCCACCCAGCCATCCATCCATCCATCCATCATCCAGTCACCCATTCATCTATCCCATCCATTAATCCACCCAACTATCTACCCATGCATTGCCTATCCAACCATCCATCTACCTACCTACCAGGTGGATGCAGGATGGTGACCCTGATAAATGAGGCGATTGCCCTTATAGAACTCACATTTAATGAGCCAACCCATAATACATGAGATAAATTCTTGGTCATGAAGGAAGTAATGGTGATATGATAGTGAGAGCCTGGGCTGGGCAGAGGCTGCTCCTAAGGTAACCCCCTGAACCAAGCCTGAAGGATGAGGGGAGCACAGTGAGCTGCAGTTGCTGAAGACGTGGGCGAGGGGCACTCAATTTGTTTCTGGATCTGAGAGAAGGTCCTGGAGTGTAGCATGTCAGGGAGAGGCGGCTGTGGTCTGTGGGTGGGCAGAACCACAGTCATGAGGGACTGTAGCTGGGTTGGGAGGCTGGCTCATTGCAGGCATTGCAGAACAGGAATGACTGGCATGAGCAGCTCCCACGTTCCCTTTGGAAGATTGTCCTGGCTGTAGAAGGGGTAAGACTGGCAGAGGGAGACCCTGTCCAGGACTGCCAGGCTCAGGCTGGGACAGTGACCAGAAGGGAGAAACAGTGGTCGGCTTCCACGCACATTCTGGAGGCAAATGCAGTGCCAGTGATGAGGAATTGGCTGAGGAAGAAGATGGGAGGCAGAGCATTTGCCAGCGGGCTTCGCTCTTCTCTATTGTCCCCCTAACTGCCTGAGGCCAGGCTTCTGCAGGCTCCGCCATTATTAGTTTGAAGACCATCAGTAACACATCAAACACGTCCGTATGTTTTAAAGGCACAAGCATCCTAGAGTCAGTTAGAAGCAGCTCAGGATGGGCTGGGGACATAGCTTGCATATCCATTCCCCTACGCTGTTGCCCACTTAGAAGATGGCAGTGTGGTTTCCGTTAAATTTTCACTGCATAGCATGCAGGTAACCTTACAAAGGTTTTGCTTCGTTGGCGGCTGGACTGGCCTCCTCTTCTTGCTGGTGGTAAGCACTCTCCGTACTGAGCACACGCAGTGCAAATGGCAGGGAGCCCGAGCATGTGACCTGTGGCCTCGGCCTAGGTGACTGCTCCCTGATCCAGGCCATGCTGGCCACGCTGTGAATACCGTAGCTCCGAGGCCACATGGTCACTGGGAAATGGTCGCGCCCTTTCATCCTCAGGCGCCAGGAACTCCGAGAGCTCCGGCTGCTTCAGAAGGAAGAGCACCGGAACCAGGCGCAGCTGAGCAGCAAGCACGAGCTGCAGCTGGAGCAGATGCTCAGGCGCTTCGAGCAGGAGACCAGCGTGAGTGCTCTGGGTGGAGGGCGCAGAGGGCCAGGGGACCAGTCCCTGGGGCTTCCGTCCTCAGCAGGCTGTGGCTGGGAACCACACCCCAAGGTCACACAGAGCACCTCTAGAGGAAGTCGCCTCTGTGAGCACAATGCAGCCACTCTGCAAGGTTGGTGGTCTCCTCTCCCTTTTGTGGTTGAGAAAGTGGAGACTCAGAGAGGTTAGGTGACTTGGCCTAGGCCACACAGCAAAGAAGTGGTGGAGCTGGGTTTCAAACCCAGCTCTGAGCTCTCCATCTTCCTTCCAGGTATAAAGTGACTTTGCTCAATTTCTCTGAACTTTTGCTGCTTCCAGGCCAAGAAGAAGTTCTTTGACACGGAGCTGGAGAACTTGGAGCGCCAGCAAAAGCAGCAGGTGGAGAAGATGGAGCAAGACCATGCCGTACGCCGCCGGGAGGAGGCCAAGCGGATCCGCTTGGAGCAGGACCGGGACTATGCCCGGTTCCAGGAGCAGCTCAAGCTGATGAAGAAGGAGGTGAGCGGCCATGGGGCAGGGCTGCTGGGAGCCATAGGACCCTCGTGGCATCAGAGGGGCTGTGAGCGCTTGAGGCAGCCACATAGGGGCCTGTGTCCTCTGGCCACACCTTCAGTGCCCCCTTCCCTGTCCTTCCTGAGTTGGCTCCACTCCTAGCCAGGCCCTTGTGATGTGGTCTCTGAGCAGCTACTTTTACAACTCCCAGCTCCACACTACTGGCTGCGAGATCAGGAAGAAGCAAAGGAAAGTGGCCCCCCAAATCAGAAATGCTATCAGCAGAGAGAGGCAGAGTGGGCGAGCACACCTGGTCTCTGTGCTCTGCCGTCTCTTCCCCCCACCTCCAGTTGGAAGGGGAAGGGGACATGGTCAAGCAGTGAGTGTCCAGAGACAGGAGGAGGGAGGGACATCAGCCTGCCTGCAGCAGGGCTTCTGGGTGGGACAGCCTTTGAGTCTCAGGAGGGAGGAGTTCAGGCTACCCCCAGTCTCCATCTAAGTGCTAGATGAACAGCCTCGAAGTGGATGGCAGTCCTGGGGCCCCGGGCCCCGCTCCCAGGCTGCCCTGCAGTGGGAGTGACAGGTGACACATCCAAGGGACTGGAGACAGCGGCTTGCAGAACCAAGGGTCCTGACTGAGCAGAGCCAGGGCTGGCACCGGACAAGTGACTCACTTCAGACACAAATCAGGGGCCTCAAAAACACCAGTAATCGAGATAAGTTACCGTAATGCAGTATTTTAAAGATGAATGCAAAAAACATGGACAGACTGCCAACTGTTTACCAAAGACAGAATTTGACAGGGCTGGGATTAGGTGAGTGAGGTGTTGTGATTGGGTCCTCCAGGCACAGCACTGGTTACTTTCTTAAGATGACAGAACAGCTTACAGGAGGAAGGATGGATTTTGCTCATGTTTTCAGAGGGCTCAGCCACAGCTGCTTAGCCCCAGGGGCTGAACAGAGCATCATGGTGGCAGAAGAGCCATTCACCTGGCAGACAGGAAGCAGAGTGCAGTACCAGGAAGGACAGGGAAGAGAGGGGACAGACACCCTCCCCAGTGACCCGCTTCCTCCAACCCTGCAGGAAGTCCACTACCTCCCCATAGTCTGTTCAAGCTTTGCATCCATCAGTGGATTAAACCATTGATTCAATCCAAGCCCTCGTGATCCAGTCCCTTCTGGAGAGCCTCACAGACATGCCGGAGCTGTGCAGACTTGCTTCTCTGAGCCGTGGGTCACATGTCTAACAATGGGACATTGGCAGGCAGCCAGGCACAGTGCAAGGTTCCCAGAGCTGATGGTTGGGTTTTATTTCCTAACTCACTTCACACTTCCTTATTCCTCAGAATCCTCTGAGCATCAGTTCCACAGCCCTGCAGATCCTTTCTGTAAAGTGACACTGTTTGCATGTGACCTCCACACATCTGCCGTGCTCTGTAACTCATGGAGATATCACACGCACCGTGTGTAGTGCTTTGCAAATAGTTGTCAGGCCGTAGGAAATTAGGACGAGGGGAGTCTGTACATGTTGAGTGCAGGTTTTCCCAAATATTTTCTGTCCAGTTTGCACAGTGATGAAATCAACAATGACACTTTTCTCTGAATGTGCCTTGTCAGAAAGCCATCATGACTGTATTTGGTTTTCTTTGCAGTACTGGGATTTGAACTCAGGGCCTCACACTTGCTGGGCAGATGCTCTACCTGTTGAGCCATGCCTCCTGCCTTTTTTTTGCTTTAATTATTTTTCAGTAGGGTCTCATGTTTATGCCAGGCCTTGATCCTTCTGCCTCTGCCTCCTGCATAGCTGGGATGACAGGCATGAGCCACTGCGCCCAGCACGGCTATATTTCTTAAGTAGTTGGAACTCCCTAACACTGCAGAGCTGTGGTCCTGGAAGGATCCCTAAGGAAATTTTAGTTAAAAGCCGGCTTGTTTTTCCCGTTGCTAGATTGGAATGCAGGTAACCAGAACCTTACACATCTCAGTCAGAGGGCATGCTGGGACAGAACTGTCCCTAGGGTTGGCCCCTTTGCTAGTGGCCCCCCGAGCGCTGCTTGCTTTGCTCTTTGCCTCTGGTTGGCTGTGGGAGTGCTTCCTGGTGTTTTCAGTGTCTGCAGCAGAAAGCCAGACCCTTTCTCAGCTGCTCTTCTGGCCCTTGGCCGGGCACAGCAACCAATGTGGGAAGGCGCAGCTCACATGGCGAGAGGGCACTGGGACAGGTCAGGCTTGAACCCCATGTCCAGGCATCCTTGATGAGGAAGCAGGGTGGCACCAATGAGGTCCAAACTATTTTATTAGGACTTCTATCTGAGGAGTGATTCTCAGCCAGGGACTCTGTCCCGGGGACACTTGTCTGGAAGCCTTTTTGGTTGTCATGGCTGGGGTAGGGAGGAGAGGGTACAGGGGGATAAGTTGGGGATGCTGCCCTGTCCTGTAACACACAGCACAGCCCTCCACAGAGTCAGTAGTGCCAAGGGTCAGTAGTGCCGAAATCGAGAAGCTCTGACCTAAGACTGTAAAAGCCAGAGAGCCTAGGATCAGGACTTGGGCTATGAATCTAAGACCATAAAAAAAAATTCCAAGAATCGGAAGAGAAGGTGGAGAGTTTTGTGGGATCTGGGGTCAGATGGTAATGTGTGCTTAACTTTGTGAGAGATTGCCAGACTGCTTTCCAGAAAGGACTGCATCATTTTGTCCCCACAGTGTGTGAGAGCTCCAGCTGCTTGGTGTCCTTGGTGTCAACTGTCACTAGTTTATTTTAGCCAGTGTGCTGGAAGTGAGTGGCGTTTCACCAGGGATTTTATTGCATCAATCACACTGACATGATGATCTGAAATATCTTACTGAGTGCTTGTTTGCTTCCCGTAAGTCCTTTTTGCTGGATATCTGTTCAAATCTGGATATCCGTTTAGCTGGGGGATTTGTTTTGTTAGGCATTCTGACCCTTCTTCTTACATTTGGAAAACAAGTGCTTTGTCAGATACGTATTTTGCAAATATTCATTGTTTTCTGGTAGCTTGTCATCCTCCTTACTAGTGTCTTGCAAAGAGCAGAAGTACTTAACTTTATGTAATTTCAGTGTACCCAATCCCACTTTTTTTTTTTTTTTTGCGGTATTTGGGTTTGAACTCAGTGCCTCTACCTTGAGCCACTCCACCAGACCTTTTTTGTGGTGAGTTTTTTTGAGAAGTCTCATGAACTATTTGTCTGGGCTGGCCTCAAACTGCAATCCTCCTGATTTCTGCCTCCTGAGTAGCTAGGATTACAGGCATGAGCCACCAGCGCCCACCTTCCCACTTTCTTTAGATTAGTGTTTGCATGGAATATATTTTTTCATCCTTTGATTTTTTTTTTTTTTTTGAGACAGACTCTCATTTTGTAGCCCAGGTTGCTGGGATTATAGGGGTGGCACCATGTCTGACTTTATCCCTTTAGTTTAACTTGCTGTTAACATAGGTTTCTCACTGACAGCATATATTAGGCTTTGAGCTTTGAATATCTGATCTGCAAATCTCTGCCTTTTAATAGGGATGTTTACACCATTCACACTTAATGAGATCATGATTGGTTTTGTTTGTTCCCTCTGTTTTTTGTTTCTCTGTCCCCTTTCCCTACGTCTTTTTAGAGTATTTTAGTATTCATAGTACCCACTTTAATTCATCAGTTGGCTATTTGTGTGTTTAGTAGTTGCTATAGGGCATTGAAATACGGACCTTTTCAGGCTCTATTTAGAGTTCACACTTTAGTGTTTCAGTTATATCCCAGGAACCTTGTAACCACATAAATTTCTTTTAGTTCCCACAGGCAGACAGCCCTGTTAAGTCAGATAAGACACAACTTGGATGGATCTTGGCTCTGTGTCCCTAAGCCTCAGCTGTACTGCTTAGGGTCGGTCTCCCTCACACCCGGCTCAGGGCTGAGTCTAAGGCTTGGGCACGTTCATACACTGAACTGAGGCGTCCCCTCTTCTTGCTGTCTCCTTCATCCCACATTCCCTGGCTGTCTAGACCCTACTTCTTGGTTCTCTAGCCAGAAATGAGGTTTCTGGTGGAGATTCAGCCACCCTTTCTATTGTACTGCGTCCAGGCCGGCACTGTCTCATTGCTGAAGAGGGCAGAAGACCTCCCTATACAAATGTCTGCTCGTGCACACCTGCAGGAGGTAGCGGGGTGGCCCACCCTGAAACACAGGAAAGAGAGCGACTTTCACCCAAGTCAACAAGTGTCCTGAAACTTCCACCTGCCCTGCAAGGGTCCCGGCTGCATCCGAGCCAATCCTGAGGCCAGGGCGCAGAAGGTGCTGCCTGCCTGGCAATGTCATCTGGCCAGTCTAGGGCTAGACGGGGCTAGAGGGACCCCATCTGCATCTTGGGGACCCAAAGGGCAGGAACCATAGCGTGCATTCTTGCGGGGGGACATAGCGCCCCCAGCTGGAGCAAAGACATCTTAGGCATTGTGATACGAATATGGATACCAGAGATCTTAGATATTGACGGCCTCGTTTGCAAGAGTAAATATGTCATGGGTTGAGAACGATTAGGAAACAAATGTCTGAAAGGTTTGTGAAGAGGCAGTGATTTTCTAAAATGGCAGAGAAGAACAGATAAACTCAGATCTGAGATCAGAAGGGAGGGAAGCCAGGCAGCACAGCCTCGCCTGTGCAGTCAGGGAACCGCCTGAGGGACTGGGACTGATGGGGAGCGCTGGGCCCCGCCCACGAGACCCGGCCCCGCCCACGGCGCAGGGTTGGCAGTTTCGCAGGTGGGAAGGGCTCTGATCCGACCTCGGCATCTCCTGCAGGTGAAGAGCGAGGTGGAGAAGCTCCCCCGGCAGCAGCGCAAGGAGAGCATGAAGCAGAAGATGGAGGAGCACTCACAGAAAAAGCAGCTTCTGGTGAGTCCCCAGCCCTCCTTGGAGAGCAAAGGGGTCTGACGTTTGAGACCCGGCGTGGTGGTGACCGGTCCGTTTGTCTTTGCCCAGCTCTCCTTCTGAATGCCTTCACCGCCAACCCCACACACCGTGATCACCTCCTCCATGCAGCCTTCCCCACAGCCCTCCCCTCCCCTCTGTCGTAGGGCTATTCGTGCATCACATCTTCACCAGCCCAGAATGTGCTCTGCCGGCTTGGTGTCATTTGGAGTCTAAAAGACATGAAATCCTTGATCTCTCAGACCTGCTCATCCTGTTAGCGAAAACCTTGTCATTCCTGACCCGTCCTTTCCCTCCAGCCCTCCATTGCCCCCTGAAGCACTGCGCACTTGGACACACGCACAAGCACACCACGTGTACGCATTTTCAGTCTCCTGCGTCTCCAGTGTTTTCCTCTCATTTTTCTACCTTTTCTTCCCTGGTTGTGCCCACCTTTCTCCTGGCATAGGAACGCAGAGAGTCGCCCGAGCCTGTGGGTAAAGTCCTGTCCTTCCTCCCCACAGGACCGGGACTTTATAGCTAAACAGAAGGAGGACCTGGAGCTGGCCATGAAAAAGCTCACCGCAGAAAACAAGCGTGAGATCTGCGACAAGGAGCGCCAGTGCCTCAGCAGGAAGCAGGAGCTCCTTCGAGGTGGGGCCCAGCGTGGGGGACGCCAGCTCGCCCCAGAATGACCGGGCGAGGACGTCCCAGCCCTGGGAAGTGGGAGCAAGAGAAACCTCCTGGGTCTTCTTCAGCCTGCAGCTGGAGAGACAGACCTCACAGAAGCAAGCCAGGAGCAGGGCAGGGTGCCGGTTGCTTTGTGGACGTTATTCTAGAAGTCAGGAGGAAATGAGAAAGCAAGTGTAGATAAGTGGGCTGGGCCAGCAGGCGCAGGAGAGATGGCTGGCAGCCTCACCTGAAAACGCTCACGAGTGGCATTGGTTTTCATGCCTTGGTCTCATGGAGTCCTGGCCTTGCCCTGTGAGACAGTCCTGCTGTGGCCCTATTTTTATAGAGAGGAACCATGGGGTTGAAGAGTTACACTTTGGTTGGGCGTGTCAGTCTGTTGAGGTGGCTATAGTGACACACCGTCGACCGGGTGGCTTAAAACCCACAGAACTTCACTTCTTGCATGTTGTAGGGCTGGGAAGGCCATAGTCTCAGCTGTGCAGATTCGGGATCTGACAAGGGCTGCTTCCTCAGTGGTGGTACATCTCATACCCGGGCCTCCGTCTGAGCCCTTCCCGTGTGCCTGGCAGGGCAGCAGAGGTGCCCTGTGGGTTGTATCAAACACATCTCCTGGCGTGCGTGGCTCACGCCTGTAATCCTGTATACTCAGGAGGCAGAGATCCTCCTGATCTCAGCTTAAAGCCTGCAACAGTCCACCAGACCCCATCTCAAAAAAAAAAAAAATCACAAGAAAAGGCTGGTGGAATGGCTCAAGTGGTAGAGCGCCTGCCTAGCAAGTATGGAGCCCTGAGTTCGAATCCCATTGCCACCAAAAAAACCAGCCTCCCAAGGACGTTTTCTCCTCAGGGCGTAGCTGAGCCCATTTGGCAGAGGTGGGAGGCTGAGATCTGGGGAGGTTTTCGTATAAATCCCAAATCCGAGACACTGCCTACCCTCCCCTGATACCGGGAGCTGGTGTCCCTCGGGCTTTGAGGAAGTTTCTGGGACTCCAGTGAGTATCCGTGTACCCTGCATCTGAGTTGGGCAGGTTGGTCTTCAGCCAAGGTGAGGGGTCCAGGCGGAGGGGATCTCTCTGCCAGCTCCTCACCTGTGGCATGTCCTCTGCAGACCGGGAGGCAGCCCTGTGGGAGATGGAGGAGCACCAGCTGCAGGAGAGGCACCAGCTGGTGAAGCAGCAGCTCAAGGACCAGTACTTCCTGCAGCGGCATGAGCTGCTGCGCAAGCACGAGAAGGTGGGTTGGGGACAGTGTGGTGTGTGGCACGGGGGGAGCTGGCGTGACTCGGGGGTGCAGTGTGGGTGTGGGGCGGTGTGGCATGGAGGGACGGTCTGGGCACGGGGGGACGGTGTGGCCCAGGGTGGCCCAGGGGGTTCTTTGGGGATGTCCTCCTCTGGCCCCAGAGCAGAAATGGCCCAGCAAGCCCCCTCGCTCCTGAGTGCTCAGGCACTCTTCTCTTGCCCTTGCCTCCCTCTCATCCCATTTAAATCCCCTCTGTCCTGTCTGTTCCCTCAGAATCCTCTCAGGTGTCCCCCAAAACCCCACATCCTTTAGGGCGCCTCTAAGCTACCAGTTCTGGTAGAGGCCCTGCCCTGTGTGACCAGACTATTTCTATATCTGTGCTGATTGTTGGTCTTAGTTCAGTGCCCATAGTGGGGACAGTGACAGGTAAGCTGGGGTCCGGAAGCACAGGTGCTCAGAATAGGGGTGCCCAACCTGGCTAGCAGTCATGGAAAGCTTCTTGCAGGAGGTGGTGCCCATGCAGAGTTCTGAAATAGAACCAGGTGTTGGGGAAGGAGAGAACCCACATTTGAAATACAAATTTACTTCTGCCACCAATGACGGTGGTGTACATTTTCCTGGAGCCGTCGGCACACCTTCACCAGGTCCGTGAGATGGCATTTGGAGGTTTAGAATCAAGACATTCCTAACAGTACAGTTGCTCGTTGATTTATCCCCGGCTGCTGTCCCCATAATCCCGTCACAGTCCCATCACAGGTCAAAACCGCACTTAATCTGCCCAAGTGTCCTGGCTTGGTGGCAGGACCCCGCACTTGGGTACTGCACAGTGGTTTCCCCGTGGCAGCGGGAACAGGAGAGGTGAAGTGACACACGCGTGCCATGAGGTCCGCGGCTCCCAAGTGGAGCCCAGAGCCCGCTGACCTCCGCCCGGTGTCCCCCAGGAGCGGGAGCAGATGCAGCGCTACAACCAGCGGATGACGGAGCAGCTGAAGGCGCGGCAGCAGCAGGAGAAGGCGCGGCTGCCCAAGATCCAGAGGAGCGAGGGCAAGACGCGCATGGCCATGTACAAGAAGAGCCTGCACATCAACGGCGCAGGCAGCGCCTCGGAGCAGCGCGAGAAGATCAAGCAGGTGGGCGCGCGAGCCGGGCCCCGGCCCTGGTCCAGGTGGATGTACCCGGTCATGGCCTGGACGCTTCTGCCCTTTGCTGGACGTCATTTGCTGTGACTTTGTCCCTTCACCTGTGTGCCTGCCACCTGTAGCTCCCTGTCCTGTCCACCGAGCCCCAGTGGTGTCAGTGACTGTGACTCAGGCCCCTGACATTCCTGCAGTCACATTACCAGGTCACTACCCCGCCAGTGGGGGCTCCTGGAGGCCGAGGCCGGGTCACCTGTCAGTGAGGACTTAAAGACTGGGGCACAGCCTGAGAGGGCTGGGCACTGGCCTTGCAGGCGCAGGGTTGAGGTAGCCCCGGCCCAGCCCACTGCCAGCCGGGCCCATCCTGTGTCCTCTGCAGTTCTCCCAGCAGGAGGAGAAGAGGCAGAAGGCGGAGCGGCTGCAGCAGCAGCACAAACATGAGACTCAGATGCGGGATATGGTGGCCCAGTGTGACAGCAACATGACTGAGCTGCAGCAGCTCCAGGTACGGCCTCAGGTTCCCCCAGGCGGGTGGGGGCCGGGGAGTCCAGGTGGAATCCTGCTGCACTCGGGCTGTGCGGGGTTGGTGACTCGCACCGCCCTGCAAGCCATGCCCTTCACGTCCCCAAGCTGCATTGAGGGTTTGTAAAGGGCTGAAGCCACTGGACCTAGGGCCCAGTGTGGCAGGCTGCAGAGCTTCTCACTCATTGCTGTGTCTTAGAAACACACTTCGCCTGGTGGCCACTTTGTGGAAATCCCCGGCCTCTTCAGGCTCCTGGCTCTGGTTTGTCCCATACCTGAGCATCACCTGCAAGCTTCCCGCCCAGGAGCTGCAACTTGGAGCCCCCTAGTGGTGGAGCAAGGCACTGTCACACCTGAGAGAGGGACTGGGCCAGCTCAGCCTCTGGACCTCAGGAGAGCATGCAGGCCAGTGGACCGTTCTGTAGAGGCAGGGGGCATGAGGACACAGTACAGCAGGGAGGCCGCCAGGCAGGGCTGTGCCGCCTGCCGCCGCGTGCATTTTAGACAAACCTCTGTATTCCTGCATGTGGTTCCCGTCCTTGCCTCCTGGAGTTACCGTTTTGGTTCAGTTAGGACCCGCAGAGTCTGGGCACAGCCGGTCCCAGGACCTCAGTGTGGCTGTGCCTGTGGTTTCATCAAACCTTTTCCAAATCCTGGAAGCTTACCTTGAGACCCAAGGTGTTAAAAATCCCGAGGGGTCTACTTTCCCTCCCAGTGGGGACGTGGTGTCTGAGCACAACAGGGGGTGGGAGAGTCTTAGCCAGGTCCCTGGCCCTTGTCTCTTACCAGAGATCTGCCCCGAGGCAATGATACGTAAGGCAGGGAATTGGGTGTAAATTGTACACATTGTACTGCTATCCGTCACACTTGGACAAAACATGTAATTACACACCATGTCTGTACGTAAATATTTACACGTAAGGCTGCCAGGTGTGGCTGTGCACATCCATAGTCCCAGCTGCTCTGCAGGCTGAGGCAGAAGGACTGCTCAGGCCACGAGTTCTAGGCTGTGGTGTGCTGTGCCAGTCAGGTGTCTAAGACTCAATGGGATTGATTCTGGGTGTGGCCAGTGCCCTCCAGCCTGGGCAGCAGAAGGGACTCCTGTTACTTAAAAGAGGAAAAGAGAACACCGTGGGTCGTGTGGCTGGAAATTCAAGATTGGGATGTCACTGTGTCAGGTTCTGGTGGGGGCTGTCATCGTCGTGGCCTGCAAAGACCATCTTCTCACTGTGTCCTCAAGGTTACAGAGAGACAGAAAGGGAGAAGAAGAGGAGGAGGAGGAAGGGAAGGAGGAGGAGAGGGAAATGGAGAGAGAGAACTCTTGCTGACAAGCTCTGCTCTGTCCTGTCAGGCCACAAATGCCACCCCGGGGGCCCCATCCTCATGACCATCTAACCCTAACTTCTCCACCTCCAGACACCATCACTTCAGGGACGAGGGGTGCAGCGTGAATTTTGGGGGAAGAACTCAGTCTGTAGAACAGAAGTTTTAACACAGAGGTATTTATGGCAGAAATCTCTGTGACTAAAAGCGGCTCAAGTGGCAGAGTGCCTGCGTGGCAAGTGCAAGGCACTGAGCCCAACCCTGGTGCCACACACACAGGAAAGGTGGTTATGTAAGAGCAGCCTGATTCCTTGCAGGAACGTCTCCGTTCTAATAGTAAGCGTGTGGAGAAAGTGCAATGAGCGCGCAACGCTGGTGCCGTCCGCCAGGCATCACGGGTCTCGGGCCTCTGCCCTCACTTTCACGCGTGTTGTGCTGGAATTTGTTTCAGAATGAGAAGTGCCACCTCTTGGTAGAGCACGAAACACAGAAACTGAAGGCCCTGGACGAGAGCCACGACCAGACCCTGAAGGAGTGGCGGGAGAAGCTTCGGCCTCGCAAAAAGGTACCAGGGAGGGCTGGAGGCAGGATGGGGTATTTTTGTTGTTTTTGGTTTTTGGTGGTGCTGGGGTTTGAACTCAGGGCTTCACACTTGCAAAGCAGGTATTCTGTCACTTGAGCCACACCTCCAGTCCCTTTTGCTCTGGTTATTTTGGAGATGAGGTCTCTCGAACTATTTGTTCCTCAATTGAACAACAGTTCTCCCCATCTCAGCCTCCCGAGTATGGAGGATTGGGTTTATGTCTTTAATGAAGAAACTGATTTTGCCCCGCGTGCGTCAGTAAGGACGCATTTTGGTCCGGCAGTCTTAATTCCTCCTCGGGCTCCAGATGGTCGTTCTGCTCATCCTGGCTTTTGTGGCACAGAGGAAAACGCAAATGACGTCTTAATGTTAAGAAAACAGCTGTGGCCTGCTGGCTGCCCCCACCCCGATTGCTTTTGGTTCCCTTGGGGGAACATGGGCCAGGATTTAAGAGCCCTGCCCTGGCCGCGCCACCTCTGCCTCACCCCTCCTGGTGCTGATCGGGTTCAGATCGGAGCCCTGGCGCTTCACGCCCTGTGAGCCCTCATCCTCCATGCTAGGCCTTGCCAGGCTTCTCCCTTTTGCCAGGGACCTTGTACCACCTGCCTTCTTCAGGCCACCCCCCCACACACCCAGGCTGTGTGGGTGGCTCTTCTGTCCCCACCCTCATGAGCTGACCTAGCGAAGGGCAAAGAAGCAGGGAGGGAGACTGGGGGACAGAGGGGCTCCGTCAGACGGTGTGGCAGGAGGGCCCCACAGAAAGGACGATGGCGCCTTAGCAAAGGCCCCACGGCTGGAGCCTGAGGAACGGAGGCCGTGAGGCCGGGAAGCAGTGGTGGCGATGATGGCAGGCCATACAGGGTGGAGTCCAGGGAGGTGGGACCTGGACCAACTCCACTGCAGGGTCTCGAGCAGAGGCCACGCACTGACTCGTGTTTTGAAAGGATGACTCCAGTGCTGCTGGGGCAAGCGTGGAAGCAGAAAGCCAGTAAGGAAACTCCTGGGATCGTCTCGGCGAGAAAGCATGGTGGCTTGGACTAGGATGGCGTTGGGGGGTGGGGGCAGGCACAGTCCCCACGGTGCGTGCTAGTTCTTGCTGTCTTTGGGCGAGCTAAATTCGGGTATTTATTTTATGTGACGGCTTCTGTGGTGATGGGGGCTTGTAAATCTGAAATTCACAGGGTGGGCTCTCAGTCTGGAGACCCTGGGAAGGGCCAGTGTTGCAGTCTTGAGTCCCAAGTCTGGAGGCAGAATTCCTTCCTCCTCAGAACCACCTCCATCTTTTCTCTTAAGGCCTTCAACTGACTTGACAAGGCCCACCCACGTTAGGAGTGCAATGCGCTCTACTCAGTGTACCAATTGGAACGTTAGCCATGTCTAAAACACACCTTCACAGTGACGTCTAGACTGGATTGGGTACCAAGGCCTCACCAAGTCGTCATGTGAGATTATTAACCATCACAGGGCCTCAGTGAGGTCATTTTAAAGTAGAGATCAGTTCTGTGCAGTGACTTGCAGTGCAGGCCCAGGGCATCCTCTCCCCTCAGCTCTGAGAACAGCGTCGTCCTCATTGCCCTCCATCTGGTGTCCTGATGTCCTGAGGTTGCTCAGCTGTCAACCATCACTGTCCCTGGGGTCTGGACAGGAGGCAGCTGCTCACCTCAGCTGTGTGATGACCTTGGACGTCCTCTGCTAATGGCACTTTATGGCTGGCAGCCGGCCAGAGTCCCAGACCTTCTGCCACAGGCCCTGGCTGCTGGCGCTTCTGAAAGGTGACTCAGGTCAGTGGTGCTCCTGCTGACCAGGGTTGATTCCAGCTCTGGGGAATAAATGCTCGCGTGGGTCGCTTGCCTGCTGGGGGCATCTGTGCCCTGGGCACGGCCTGAAGGTGAGCGTACTCCTTCCTCTAGCAGCTGCCTTGGGCCTCGGAGGGGCTCTCAGGGGCACCAAGGTTTGCAGTGGGGCTGCCATCAGACTCTGCCTCTCGGCAGGGTTCTGTCATCAGCCACTTGGGTTGGTGCCAGGGCTGGTGGCTTACATTCTGAAATAAATGGACTTTTACACTCCTGAGTTCCAGTCAGCAGCCTGGAGCTCTGTCCCTCACCTGGGGGCAGAGGAGAAAATGGCACAGTGCACGTCCGCTCTGCCAGCTCAGAATCCCAGGTAGGACCTAAGTAGTGTGACCTGCATCATAACTAACGAGTCAAGAAGGAGGCCTCGGGCGGGCCCCCTCCCCTCCTGGACTTGGGCTTTCAGGCTGTAAAATGTGGCTAACATTTCTCCCTTCCCTTAAAGCCTGTGCTGTGAGCCAGATCTGGCCCTCCACCTGTGTTTGTAAATAAAGCTTTATTAGAACGCAGCTCACTCATTTAGTTTTTGGGTTTTGTTGTTGTTTTTTGGGGTTTTTTTGGTGGCACTGAGGTTTGAACTCAGGGCCTCACACTTGCCAGGCAGGTACTCTTATAACTTAAGCCACTTCACCAGCCCTTTTTTGTGATGGGGTTTTTCGAGATAGGGTCTCAGGAACTATTTGCCGGGGCTTGCTTCAGATCCTCCTGATTTCTGCCTCCTGAGTAGCTGGGATTACAGGCGTGGGCCCCCGGTGCCCGGCTTCCCCTGCAGTTTGTGTGTGGCTGATTTTGCTCTACAGTGGCAGGTTCAGTTGCAGAAGGGGAACCGTGTGGCCGCACGTAGCAGGGGAAGGTGGCTGCCGTGGCCTCGAGAGGCTGTGCAGAGGGACATCTGTGGTCAGCAGAAAGACAGCACAGGCCTGGGAGTCAGACCAACACGGATGGAGGATGCAGGCTGGGCATCCTGAGCCCAATGCCTGGGAGCAGAAGTGTTCTGAGTTTCTTTCAGAGTTTTTCAGATTTGGGAGCAAGTCCATGTTCCATGGATGGAGGTCTCAGGGCTGAGAACAAGTCTAAACACAGAGTTCACTTGTGTTCCTGTACCTTATCTCTGTGGCCTTGGTGACTTTCTAGAGTACTGCAGTTTGATTGTGACCCGTCACGTAGAGTCAGCTGTGCACCTTTCCAGCCACAGCGGACTGGCACCCAAAAAGTGTCAGATTTGGGGGCATTTGGGAGTTTGAATTTTTGGAGTAGGGAATATGAACCCAGTAAGGGTGGTGGGATGCTGGGCACATTGATAAGCCACTCTGTACTGAAAGGTAGCAGCCTAGGGCTCCTGGAGCCAAGGGCACAGACCGATGGACTGTGGGGGGAAGGTGCACAGACTGTCACATTTCGCCTTATTACGAAAGCTGCAAACTGTATTTTTTTATGTTTATTTTGGTGGCACTGGGGTTTTTGAACTCAGGGTCTCAAGCTTGCTAGGCAGATGCTCTACCATTTGAACCACTCTGCCAGTCCTGTTCTGTGTTGAGTATTTTTGAGATAGGGTCTTGAAAACTATTGGCCCGGGCTGGCTTTGAACTGCGATCCTCCCGATTTCTGCCTCCTGAGTAGCTGGGATTACAGGTGTGAGTCACTGGCGCCCTTGTGAAACCCGCCAGCTTTACATATAAGAAGATCCACCCAGAGCTCTGGGTTTCCGGATTCTGACACTCTGTCTGACAGTTAAATGCATGTTCTTTCCTGGCTTTGCTTCCTCTCTGAGCTGGATGCTTGTTTGGGGTGCCATCTTTCTGGAAGGATCCAGCAAGTCTAGATAAACCTGCACAAGTTCGAGGGGCGCCCGAGTGCTTGTCTGCTAGGGCAGCCCGGCCACCCAAGGAGTTCACACACAGAGGCCCCAGTTCCATCGCCTGGCTCTAGAGCCAGGTCCTCCCAGGGAGCTAAGGCGTGTGTCTTGTGGAAAAACTCCCCGTTGACTTCTGGGGCCAGTGCTCTGGGTTGGACTGCTGTGCCGCCCTGACATCTCTGTCCTCCTTGCCGTGACATCTCTGTCTGCACCCTCTACTTCATCTGGGGTTTTCCTGCCAGGAGACTGTCTGCTTCCTTCCCTCCGTGCTTCCTGTAGAGGTGGAGGTGGCGGGAGGACGGGGAGGGGAGGGCGCAAGGGGACATGGTGCCTGCCTTCCCCTTGTGGAAGGAGCAGACATTGTCACCATCACTTCACACTGAGCCTGGGAGGGGCTCCCCAGGGACCACGCTGCTGTGGGGTCCTGTGGTTGGAAGCCCTGCACGAGCCTGTGGGATCCCCTAGCACCATCTGTCCTCTCTCCCTCAGGCTCTGGAAGAGGATTTGAACCAGAAAAAGAGGGAGCAGGAAATGTTCTTCAAACTCAGTGAGGACGCCGAGTGCCCAAACCCCACCACTCCCAGCAAGGCCGCCAAGTTCTTCCCCTACAACTCTGCTGACGCGTCTTAATTCTGGCTGCCTGGAGCCTCCAGGGCCCGTGCTCTGCACACAGTAACTCAGGACCCCTTCCCTCTTGCTTCTGCGCCAGCGCAAGCCAGCTCCTTGTCCTGTGCTGCCCAGCTGTGTGACACAGCTGCCCCAGCATCCCGACGCCTCACTCGCTCCTGAGGGGCCAGGCACTATGGCGTGTTCCCTGACCTCATCCAGCCTCAGCTCCTGTCAGCTGCGGTCGACTTGGGCCGTTGTGGTCCAGCCAGGAGGAGCGGGTGTGCTGCGGCCCGGAGGCCCCTCGTTTGCCACAACCTCAGCTTTGCTGCCTGGTCCCATCCTTGTGGTCTTCCGTGGGTGCCCAGTGATGGAGGACAAGAACCTTACCAGGCTTTCCATTCCCAGCAGCGCCCAGCACGGTAGCTGCTCGGGTGTCCTCCTTGCCCTCCTTGCCCGGCCCTCTCTAAGACAGGCGATTTGTATGCGGGAGGGAATGGAGGAGGAGGAGGCCTGAAATGGGCATCCTGGGGGTCTCGGCAGTTCATACCCTCGTGTCCCCATCCCTGTGCGTGTGTGTGCTTGCACGTGCGCACACACACGCGGGACTCAGCCCCCCACACAACCCAGGCTGCCCGTGCCCTGGCCTCCTGTGCCTCGGTGGGTTGGAACACGTCTGCTCCCTGAGCTTGGGCCTCCGAGTGTGCCAGGTGGAACAGTTGGTGGGGACATGCTGGGTGTTGGCATCAGAGCCCCAGAGAAGGCACGGACTGTACTGCCAGCCTATGGTTCACGTTGGCCCCACGTGGATCCTGTGCTCAGGGATAAATTCCCCACCACACAAGACTCCACAGCCAGGCTGCTTGTGCGGTGTCCCCATCCCAGTCCCCACCCATCTGCAGGGCCGAGGGAGGCTCCTTCCCTGGTCCAGGAAGCACACCTCACTTTTCAGACCAAGCCTGCTGCCTCTTGGACTTCTCTTCAGGAAGAAATGCTTCCTGCCCTCAGGAACATGGTGGAACCACAGGTCTGAGTGTCCCCTGGGCCTTCCTTCAGGTGACCTGGTCTGCCGCCAAGGTGCTGATCCTCCCAGGCCCGGGTAGTATAGCACCCAATAAAAGCAAATGCTCAGCCATCCTGTGTTTGCAGAGCACATCTTTGTCTCCTTGATTCCCAGCCATTCTGAGAAGATGGCTACTTCTCAATGGGCCGCAGTCCTGACATGCCTGTGAGGAGCACAGCTGGGACACCCCGAAGGACTGGGATGCTTGGAAGAGACAAGAAGAGTTTCCCAAATCTTAAATACACAGTAAAGAACCTCTGGGGACAGGTGCCAGTGGCTCAGCCTGTAATCCTAGCTTGGGAGGCAGAAATCAGGAGGACTGAGGTTTGGGGTCAGCCCAGGCAAATAGTTTGTGAGCCCCTATCTCAAAAATACCTGACGCAAAAATGGCCTGGTAGGGGTGGCTCAAGTGGTAGTGCACCTGCCCAGCAAGCGTGAGGTCCTGAGTTCAAACCCCAGTGCTATCAAAAAACAAAAAGCTCCTGGGGCTACTTCCTAGACTGGTGAGCACTCAGCTTGCTGCTTGGGCCCTTGTTTCTTGGGCCTCTCTGGGCGCGGGCGCTGGGGAAATGCGGCCTGCAGAACCGAGACCCAGGTCCCGGGAAGGCCACCTGGCCAGTGGGCAGCAGTGCCAGGCATTGTCTGCAGGAGTTTGCGGCCAGGGCCTGGCAATGAGAGGAGTGTGGTCTGGGGAGGTCATCGCTCACATTGTCCTGTCCTTTATGGGATCGCTGCTTCTAGCTTAGTGCCACCGGCTCCACAGCTCCTGTGCCTTTTCGGACAGGGTCTGACCAGCTCTCACAATTGAGTTCTGTGCAATGCCGGTCACCTAGAAGGCCACACTCTGTCCTCCTGCCCGTGCTGTGTGGGGGACAGACGGAAACGTGGCTCCTTCTCGGCCTGTTTTTAGCAGAGTAAATATAACTAACTTATATTTCCCTTTATGGAGTTATTTTTATGTAGTTTCCAAACTTTATATAAAATCTTTGTAAAATGTTCTCCACAAAATTAACTGAGGGAATGTACACGCTTCTAATAAAATAGCAAGGAAATTTGCATTTGGATTTGTTCCTTGAAATTGGGGTGGAAAAGCAGGTGCTGCACTGACCCACAGTGGAGAGAGGGAGGGAGGGAGGGAGAAAAAGGGGAGGGAGAGAGAGAGAGAGAGAGAGGAGGAAAGGCTGGAGAGGGAGGGAGATAGATAGGAGGAGGGGCGGCCACTCTCACAGCTGCTTGTCCTGCAAAGCTTGTGACAGCAGAGTCAGGCCAGTCACAGGCCTGTGGGTGAGGATGTTGCATTGATTCCTGTCTGGGGTGCAAGTGAGTAAGAACTGGCACATCTGCCAATAAGGCTAGGAAAATGACGGAGGTTCCAAGAATTCAGGAGACTGGCAAAAACCCGTGCACTAGGGCATGCAGGGAACTTAGGCGATGAGATCACCCTGCCTTAGCTGATCCCTCATGCTCCAAGTGCCGGAAGTGCTGACGAGGGTAAGACATTGGCACAGTCTTCAACGTGCTTGTCCTCGTGAGAAACAGACCTGGAAAGGCAGACTGACGCTGCCTGACAGAATCAGGGAAGGCTTCCTGGAGGAGGTGTTGCTGTGTCTTAGGGGACAAACTACTAGGGGACCATAATGACATGCATTCAGAGATTGGGACAGAGCATAGGGTAAAGAGTTGAAAGGTCATGAGGCTAGAAGAGGGTCAAGGGCAGCAAGTTTCCCCAACCTAGACCTTTATCCAAGGGGCAGTAGGAGAATGGGGAGGTTTCAGGGGAAGCAAAGCTGGCATTGAGGCTTTAGCAATTCAGGGACAGTTAGGGACTGAGATGGATAGATGAGTGCAGTGTGGCCCCAAAAGTTTGAGGTTTTAGGAAGGAAAAGAAGAATTGCAGGCTCTACGTGGGCAGGGAGTAGGACTTCTAGCTGCCCCCTACCTGCAGTCCCACTCTGGGGAATTGGCAGGAGGATCGAAAGTTTGAGCCAGCCCAGGCTACTTAGGAAGACCCAGTCTCAAAAGAAAAAATCCAGACAACAGCGCCGTCCCTCTTCCTGTCCACCCCTCACTTTGAGGAGGCAGTGAGGCTCTGAGAAGTCAGCAGACCTTGCCACGAGGAGCAGCAACAGGCTGAGAGGCTGATGGCTGACCTCCCTCGGGACACTGGAAGCAAAGCTAGTCCTGAATCTGCCTTGGCGACATGACCTGGGTACAGTCGGAGACAGGCCGTGAGAAATGGGGTTGCTAGGCAGGCGGTCTACCGCTTGAGCCCCTCCACCCGCCCTGCTTTGTGCTGTGTATTTTCAAGATAGGGTCTCACCAACTATTTGCCCGAGCTGGCTTTGAACCACAATCCTCCTGATCAGCTGGGATTACAGGCTTGAGCACCGGTGCCTGGCTAGGGGTGTCAGTTTGAGAATACAGTATATGAGGTTGAACAGGTGAGAAAAATCAAGCAGGAGGGACAGGCTTGGCCCGAAAGAGGTACGTGAGAATCATGAAAGTTTGGATTTCATCCTGGAGACCATGTGTGACATCAGTTTTGTGTTGTAGACAGGTGACTAGCTCCAGCGTGACTGTGTTGGGGGGTCTGGTGACAGCATCTTTATAGCAATCCAGATAAGAGACTTTTCATAAGCAGCCCCAGCCTCTTAACTTTTTTGTGTCCATTGCATGACATTTTGGGGGTGCTGGGGATCAAGGCCAGGATCCCGGTGTGCTAGGCCAGTGCTTATTCTACTGAGCCTGTGTCACCTCGTGAGCACTTGACCCTGTCACTCGCAGTTCTCTGAAGTGCTAAAGCACTACCAGCCTGACACTGCAGTGTCACACTCTGGGCAATTGTCCGTTTTCTGTTAGGAAATTTATCCTTCCGCACAGCCCACTGTCCCCCGTGCTGGGTAAAATCTCTCTCCCCAGCCTTGGTGGTCAGACTTCTGGCAAGTCTCCCAGCTTCCCAAAATTACCTGGTCACTTTCTTACCTGCACTTAGAAGCTTGCAGTGAGCCAGGCACTTGTAATTCTCCATACTTGAGAGACCAAGATCAGGAGGATCACGGTTCAAGGCCAGCCCTGGCAAATAGCGAGACCCCCCCCCCATCTCCAAAATAATCAGAGCAAAAATGGGGTGGAGGTGTGACTCAAATAAGTGTGAAAGCCTGAGTTCAAACCCCACGGGAAAGCAGCTCAGTGGTCGATGCTTGCCGTGAGGCCCTGGTTCCATCCCAGACAATATTCACCAAGTGCACTGTAGTCGCTGCAGAACGGGTTGTGACTCCTGTGATCTTCCGGCCTGTGCTGTAAAGCAGATGCGTGGCCTGCCAGTGTCTCCTTCCCATCAGGTAATTAGGAGGTGCATAGCCTAATTACCTAATTAAACTCGGTGGGTTCTCCAAGTTTAATCCCAGTGACAGTGGAGAGCAAGTCTCTGGCAGCCCCCAAGGTCGTGAGGCACTAGCTTTGTCTAGACAGCCGCTGAGATCTGAGGGTGTGGGTTCTCACAGTAGGACCGGGCCGATCATGGCACAGTCCACATCCTCCGTTTCTGCCACGCTGTGCGGCTCCCTCCCGCTCACAAGGCTGTGTCTGGCACCTCCAAGGTTGGAGGTGGGAAAAGGGAGTTAGGGAGGAAAGACAGGAACACACAGCAGATGGGGGTCCCCCTCCTTTTGGTGCTGGGGATTGAAGCCAGGGCCTTGTTTATGCTACGTGTGTCCGACCACTGAGGTGCACCCCCAGCCCAGGTCCCGTTTTTTGGCTTATTTGCCAGGCCCCCAGCCTTTGTGGCTTTGCTTTGAACACTCAGCACCTGAGGCCTTCTTCAAAGACTTGGGCTAATGGGGCCGCTTTGCCCACGGGCACTGAGAGGCAGAAGTGCCCAGGACTGTACATCTGCCCCTCTTGACATGGGTCTTGGCCAGGGAGCGAGTGAGTGGGTTTATGAAAGGCTGGCTGCCTTGAACAAGTCAGGGCAAACTGAGGGGT